GTAAATTACTATATTAAATGAGTTTATAAGAAGTAAAATTATGCCAATTGAGTGTCATGTAAATAATATTTATGTGATGCATTACACATCCATAATAATTATGTAGAATATTAGGCACTTTTGATATTGCAAATTTAAATTCCAAATGCGAATATCATAATGTTCAATTTTCAATTTGTACGTCGAAGTTGTTTGGTAGAGAATACCAAATATTTGTGAAATTGTTCGCTAACAATGTTTGGACAATTTGTATTGTTTTATCATAAGTGGGTAAAGCTGCTTTTTTGAGGTTTACGGACGGTATGTGGACTGCTATAATTTTTTGTGAATTTCCCGTATATTTTAAGCTCTTTTCTCGTTTTATTTTCATATTAATTTTCATATGGTTTAAGCTTAAATTATTCTACTTATCTATACCTGTACAAGGTGCGTAATTGGATAAAAAAATGTTCATATTCTTTTTTCCAATTAGACAGAGATTCCCTTAGTACAATTAGGGTTTCAGATTTCACGGAATATTTATTCTCGATTTTCGAGAATTCTCGTATCGGATTCCTTGAGTTATTTGAGAATTTGTTTAAAACCTTAAAAAAATTTTTAATTGGTTTTGGCTTGCGTATTCTGGGTAATACCCCGAAATGAATTCCATTGCTCTTGATGCTGGGTTCGATAGGATCAATTTGAGAAATGACGTTTTCTAAATTGGTTCAGTATGGGAATTCTTTTGTAAGTGTTTAAGACAATCTGAACTCTACTTAGTTAAATGAAAAATGCGTCTGTTTATGAGAAATATATGAAAATAGAGACATATAATATATATAAAATGTATACATTATATTTTATATATAAAATAAAATACATATAATATAGAGTTGAAAGTGGGGGGCGCGGTGCGGTATCTAAAGCTAGGGAGTGGCGGGGAGTGACCATTCTCGTTACTTTTTATCCTCTGCTTTGGTAAAAGGTCTCTACTGCATTCTTTCACATGGCACCACTAGAATGACTTTAAAATCCAACTTCGACTTCCTAGGTCAGTAGTTTTGCTCTACGACGCAGGAAAACCATTTCCGGAATCCCTAATTCGAAAAAGTAATTAATTAATATTTGGTGGTCTTAACAACTCTATGTCGCCCCATCTATACATATATCTATATATGTGGAACACCTTTTTTACCAGTATTGGTTACGATAAGGAGAGCAGAACTCTGCCGTCCACTAACTAAAAGTCGGCTAAGTGACAAATGGTCAAATATGCGTTTTAAATAGCAAAAGATAGAGCACAATGTTCTCTTTTGAAAACAGTTAAAATTAGTTAACATGTTTAACTTATCGGAACTTACCCTAACGATGCATAGCTGAAATATCATTAAACATTTTCTATATTTTAAAACTGGGTTATGGCTTTTATGATATCTCAAAATATTTTTTTGCGTTTTAGTCGGCGGGCGGCAGAACTGGCTTCGCTACTTCTTCCGTTCTCCCATAGGGTTACTACCGCTCCGTATCTTAAACATTCTGTACACGGCTAAAGTAATAATGGTCCTATAACTTCGGGGAAAATATAATATAATAATGAGAGTTATTAACGTATTCTTTTTTCGTCCGTGAATATTTCTTTGATTATATTAATTAAGTAACTTGAAATTAAGACCTTTGTTTAATTTTTCTCTATTGTGAATTTTTCTTCTATTCAGTCATATCTTAATCTTACGGTATGAAAAGCCATATTGTTCTCATTCAATGCTTATTTTCTTTTGTATTTAATTTTAGTATTAGAATTATGGCATAGTGTACAATTTATTTTAGTAAGTGAACTTAATTCTAGTATTCTTTACTGCCTCTATGGCCGAACGGTTACCAAGCTGGTCTGTCACGGTGTAGTCCCCGGTTCGATTCCCAGGCCGGGAGTAATATTTATATGGCCTACATTTATTTCTCTAGTGAGTTTGGGTGTAATTTGTGGTTGTCTACGTGTGTGTCCATGGCACCCGACATGGCACAACAGAATCGTAAGGTGAAACCTATTATGTATTGGTCTGCAAGAAAAGTAGTTTGGCAACATCTAAGTACACTAGGTCTATGATTTTTGGCGATTATCGCTACTTGTGTCATCTGAACGTCTTTTCTCAACATTTCAAACCTTTATCTTCAACATATATCAAAGTTATATGAATAATAACGCACACACTCAACATAGCCCAGCACAAGGGAAACCCTGTGTCGCGGGTGCCATGGACACACACATACACAACCACAAATTACACCCAAACTCACGCGAGAAATAAATGTAAGCCATACAAACATTTCTCCCGGCCCGGGAATCGAACCTGGGACTCTGCGTAGCAGTCCGGCATGGTAACCGTTCGGCCACGGAGGCAGTTAATGAAACATTATTGTATAAAGTATTTAAAGATGGATACAAATTTTCAACTGGTAGCCACTACAAAACGGGCATTATTCTTTCGGTTATTCCGTTAACAATACTTAAAATTATCACCATCACGTATTACGTCAGCGCACAGAAGTTAAAAAATAGACTCGCAAACCGAAGGGTTCCGATTTCACGTTTCCTTGTCACGTACTCAGCTAAATTTGGCCGGAAAATGAATTCCCTTGGTAAAACGCAACCATATTAGCACTCTTTTTATATTGTTATTAACTTACTTAAGTATGTTACCCATGTACGTAGGTAACTTACTTAAGTAAGTCGCTTTTGTGCGTAGGCTGAAGTAGCCGACCATCGGCACTGTTTAATTTATTGACAATTGATAACTTTTCTATTAAAAAAATTTAACACAAAAGTTTATGGAATTACATCTATTTGCTAAGTTTTATTGAAATCGGTTAATAGGATTCATCCCCTAATTTGTCACCCTTACAGGTGGAATATTTTCTTCAAATTTAAATGGGACCTTCACTGAGATACTCCCTTTCTAACAAAAAAAAAGAATCATCAAAATCGGTTCGTAAAGGTCTTAATATACAAAGTTATCGCTTAATATACACACAAAAAAATCTGTCAAATTGAGAACCTCCTCTTTGTTTATGAAGTGTGATAAAAATATTATTTAAAGTGAGATAGAACATGTGTCTAAAAATGGACTTAAAGCTTAGAGGATGGAAAAAAATAAAAGAAGTGACAATAATTGGATTTTGTAGGATATTTAATTGTCAATATAAATGTAAAAATTATGAACATAATTGATATCAATAATACCAAGGGATTTCTGCTTAATCTCATAGTGACAGTGTTCCTTCACACTCAATTAGGTGGTGTTGGTAACTTACACCAGGTAAGGCATTAAAAAGTCTGATCAATCATAATCGATTACGTGCTCGTTCTAAGCAGTGTGAACATGCAACATGACCATGTTGTCAATTAATTTCGTCAAATAAGTTAATCTAATAATCAATATGAATAACATTTCTACGCAAATCTCACTTAAAAAGTATTCTGGTACTTTTGAAATTACAGGCACACGGGACTTGTCAACTTATGTCTCAGAGTGACGGGTGCAGTGATAGTAGTTTGCGGTTTCAATCTCTAAGTGGCATTGCAACTTATTTGGCAATCCATATTAGAGGGCACTACATGCGTGAATTAGAGCGTGCGTTAAACAGACCATCAACTCTCTTCGACATATGTGTCACTTACCACCGCCTTTTTTTATGACACCAAGCTGCAAAAAATCCGTTAAAACGAAAAACAAAGATCTCAAGTAACAAACGCATATAAATATTAATTGTTGCTAGTGTATAGCGTGTCACTGAATCCCGTTGTATCAGAAAATTGTGGATGTCTAATTAAAATAGCGTTGTAAGTTTGTACTCACCATTTGTCGTGCAATAACAAAGGCTATCAAGTGACCTTTAGACGCCAAATTATGTTGTTGCTAGCTATGAATTATAATTAGATTGTCTAAAATGTAAACAAAGGGAATAACCGAGCAAAAAACACATTTTAAATGGTTGTTTCTTATTCATGAAGATTATAAACGTTTAGAATTCTTTTCAAGCTGTAATCTGATAAAACTTAGAACAATTAACATTTTGAACATTGTATATTTTTTCCAAATTTCGTTTAATACAACAATTATAATAAAAGACTATGTTTAAAGTCGTAAATAATTTTATGACACTGGTAACACAATTGGGATCAAAAACATTTTTGTGCCACTATTTTGTCGTGTCATGGATGTCATTCGTGCTTTGTTTCTCGAACTCGAACGTTTTCTTGTATCCGTAGTGCATTTGTTAAATTATTATGTACTGTTGTTAAAGTTTTTGTTACTTGATAATATTTTGTAATAAATAATTAAAATTGTGGAAAATGGGAACCTCCTCCTTTTCCGATTCCGTTAAAAATAGAAGGTTTGGCACACCTGCATTCATACTTTTCACAATGACTCTAAAAAATAATAGTTGGAATTTGAGTGAAAAATTTCTTTTCAATTAAATTTTGGAAATTTATGGAAAAGTTTCTGGAAGACAGATTAAGATATCAACGGCGAATGGTGTGGAAGCATACAAGAAGAAATACCTACTAAACCGTGTTCAAAATTCAACGTTTTTTATTAGCAAGTGAACTAAGTGAATTGTGTGAAATTGAAACATATATAAATTACTCCCATCGCTTAAAAGACTATTTACCTAAACCAAAGTTCTTTTTGCCTCTCTACAAGTCCATTAAAAACACAATATAACATATTTTTTGAGTATTCCGAAAACTAAATAAAGCCATGGCTCAAAGGACTTATACCCAAGCCTAAAATCCTGATAATAAAAAAAAGACATTGACGTACCTTTGTTTACATTTTGGACATCTAATTATGATTTGTACTATACGTTAGAAGATGGAAAAAAAATAGTCTAAGGTACTATAGCATAGTTGACAGACATCAATGTTTACACGTTAACAGCAAACAATAAATTTATTTCTAAATGCCGCAACTTGGCGCCTATAAACTAATTTCTATGTTTTTCGATAAACAGTTGCTTACCTGTCGCAGCTGCGTTGCTAAATCAATGACTAACTGGTGCTGTCGGTTTTGAAAATCTAACGATACTTTCTTCTCGTAAGGACCTGAAGAGGAATATAATAAGAGTTTTAAGAACTTTATTCTTTTTGTATTGTACATGTTGTGTAGTTTAAAACAACTACTGCAACTTTAGGGGCATCGAATTCTTATAGTTCGTTTCTAAAATCTTTTTTATGACACCAAGTAAGGGGACGAACAAGTCGTACACCTGGTGCCAAGAGGTTTAATCGCAAAGATCTGAGGGGCACTGCCACTGCGCCTGTCACCCTGAGACATAAGTTGACAAGTCCCATGTGCTTGTAATTTCATCAGCATCCTTATCCTTTAAACCGTACTGCTCACATCACTGCTCAAGTCAAACAAGTTTTCAAGATGGACGACAAATTATATTTTGACCTTCGCCGTAATGCAAACTTAAAAGTACTGTAATTTCTTCTACTGAATTGACGACCTTTGCCGTCAAAATTCTATTAGAATATAATAGAATAGAATAAAAAAACAAAACAAAACAAAAAATGAAATAAAGACAATAATCAAATCAATTTGAAATGTTGTCATGTGGGAGGCTGTGGTGTAGCTATGCAAATGAATCCACTCAGCTAATACCACAACCGAGATTAGGGTGTGACGTGGGTTTTCAATGAATCCTCAAACCAAGCGTCACCATTTCAGGGTCTATAAGTAACTTTTCAGTGTTTAAAAAAGTGAATTAAAAACTTTGGTCATTCTCACCTTCAAAATGATTGATAACGATCATCCATGCCATGGTCCACAAAATCAATATGAAGGTTAAGCCTATTTGGCACAAGAGACATCTGAAGATGATGGAGCATATCGATTCGCCAGGTTCGATTGGCGCTGGATACACCCTTAACCAGGAGTCAGGCGCCTTAATACAAAACAGGTTTTTTAGGTCTGTTAGATGATATGAGTCTGGTAGAGTAAGTTCACTTAGGGCGAGGCCAGACGAACGTGATCTTGAGATTAGCCAATCGCGTGTTTTGAGTCGCGTAGTAGCGACTGGAATTGGGTTGGGGTGCCAGCCGAACATATTTCATTCAGTTGTTTTTAAGCGTTTATATGAGGTGTTTGTATCATACAATGTAATGGATCCATTAAAAATAGTGTACGTTTATGAAGCAATAGAAGACGATGTTAGAAAAATAAAAAGAAGCTAGGTACATCTATTCAATATGAAAATACAAAAGTGTGGGCAGTTTCAAAATAGGCGCCTTGACGTCGAGTTGCAGATTAAGCTCCGCTGCATACGCAGTCCGCAGAATACATGAGCTTACCGATGTTAGTACTGCTTGACTAGTTTACTTTAGTTACTTCCATAGTATAATGTCCTACGGGATTCTCGTGTGGGGTAAAGCGGCAGATATTCACACCATATTTGTATTGCAAAAACGAGCGATTCGTTCGGTGTACCGTCTAGGCTCTCGGGTTTCTCTCAGAGAAAAGTTTAAGGGGACTGGTATTATGACTGTGGCATCACAGTACATTTACTCAAATATTTTATATGCCCGTAAAAATATAAATTTCAATAAGAAAGAAGATATCCATAATATTAACCTTAGAGCTAGGTCCAAACTCATGGTACCACGATTTCGTTTAACCAAGGTAAACAACTCTTTTATGGGGAACTGTATACAATAAGATTCCGGAGCATATATTAAGTTTATCATTTCCTAAGTTTAAAAACTACATTAAAAATATTTTGATCGAAAAATCATATTACAAAATTGAAAACTACGTGTTAGATAAAGATGTATGGAAAGACGACATGGATTCAGAATCCCCACAAATTTGATTCAAAGTGTATTCCATAGCACTTAAGTTTATTTGAAAAGACTAATCCCTAGAGTTTCTTGCTCGTTCTTCTCAGGGAGGTAGCGTAGTGAACGAGCAGTAGCTTAAATGTGACGTTTTCAAGTGTAAATTTATTTTACCTATGGAATAAATAATCTTTAACTTTGACTTTGACTTTGAACACCAGCCCGTTACTCCAAGTACCAAGTACCAAGTGGGCAGTTTCATATATTTTGAAAGTTTATATGAATATCCAGATTTGCAAAATATTACTTCTTGCCTATATATGTGCCCCTTATCTCTCCCTTCACTTGCACGAGCACATCACATAGTATGTTCTGACGTTTTACGCATGTGAGTCGGCAGACAACTCATTTTGCGACTAAAAAAAGACTCACAACTCACAAGATTACGCTCATCTAACCTCACCCTTAGACAAAATATTAGCACTATTATAAGGAGGGGGATTACAATTAGTATTTTGATTACTCTGTCACGAGAAATAAATTAATTCAATAAATCTTAATGTATGTACGAATACCGTTCTTTTTCTTTACTAAATATATTTCAATTCAACATACAATATTGTTAAACAAGTTTTAGTTTTTTAAATACCTGTATTCAAATTAATAATTGATCAACTTACTCTAGGTGCATTTGTAAGTTCATCCCGGAGTGGACCTCTTCTGTCGTCATTTGGATTAGCATTAATTAAACCTATCATACTGGTCGCTCTATTTCCAAAACACGTGACTCTATTTGTATCGTCTACGTTTTCCCAGATAATTCTATCACCGCCATGATTTGTATGAGCTCTTTTTAAATTTCTATAACTGAGTCTGCTTCCAACTTGCCTGCATTGTTTACCACGAACAACACTCCTGTCGTCAGAATTGTTTATTTTTTTGACAGTGATCTCATGGCCATCTTGTTTCTTAAACTTGCTAACATTGTCATTAATCTTCGGTACACTTTTACTAGGGTAGACTCTTCTATAAAGAGGTTTGACGAAACTGATATTCTTTTGGAACTTTCCGCGAATATATTTCATGTCTGGAGTATTCGCGGGAGTGTTAGAAAATGAACTGTAACTCCCAAAAGGGTTTCTTCAGCGTAGCATGTTGTGAACGGTGTTATACGATATGACCCGAAATTATTTTGTACTGTCTGCTTTTACTTTTGTGTTTTATGAAATCATTTGAGCTTTCTGTATTTGTGTGAATGTGTTGTTTTTGTTAAATTATTAACTATTCTATTAATAACGATATTATGTCCCATTATTTAGTGTAGCTCTTCAGTGCAAAGGTAGTAAGTATATTATCGTGACAATTGTTGTAGGCGTTATTTACAAAAAGCCAATTGGTTAAAATTGCAAGTTTATAATTCGTTTCTAAAGTCATAAGTACATTTAAGTATTTTTTGGTCATTTCAGTCACACGACTATGTAAGAGAGTATGTCTTACTTAAAGCACTTAAAGTGCCGAGTTCCGGTTGTACGTTGAAAGCAGCGGAAGCGATTGTTCATCGGGCATCAAACTAGGAACAATTTTGCACAGTTGTTATACAAAGCTAGTTCCTTCCACTCATCGATACCGGTTGTCTGGAAGAAAGCTTTCTTCCATGAGGCTGCTGTTTTTACATGAGTAACCAGACTGTCACACAATTAACGTAGTTCTAAACCAGAATAACAGTAAAAGGGGTACAAACCAGCTCAGACAAAAAATATATAGAAAATTACGTTTGCTACATATTTGTTCAATCGAAAATTGAATTTGGGACCTTCTGATATTATCTGAGTGCCAAGCCGCCGCACTCAGGTCATGTATATTACATTTGTTAAATTGATTCTTCTGGGATCGAACAAGAAACTTATGGAAACTCAGAAAGATGAACCAAAACACGATATTGTTGATATTAAGTTGAAGTGAGAGCCAAAATAGACGTTATGACGTAGGTGTTTAGATCACAAGGGAGATTTTATTTTCGACATTAAAAATATGAATTCAACTTATTTTTTTAATTGATAGTGAATACAGAAGATACCAGTACTCGTAAATTATAGGGCCTGAAACACGATTGACTTCGCTGGAAAAAAATACAAAGTTCCGGAAAAGTTTCATTTTTAACCGACTCCAAAAAAGGGAGGAGGTTCTTCGGCTGTATTTTATTCAGTCCGTGTATGTTACGCGATTTCTCAGCCGTTTATGAACTGATTTAAATGATTATTTTTTGTTGGACAGGGGGTACCCCCTAGTAGTTGTTCCATTCAAATTTGAAGAAAATATTTCACCTTTAGAGTGGTAAATTAGGTGATGAATCTGGTTTATTGGGTTTCACCTACTTTCCGTTCATCGATTTTAATAAAACTTGCCAAATAAATGTAATTCCACAAACTTTTGAGTTTAAGTTATAATTATTTATTACGTTCATTTACGCAAAATTATTACTTCATTCGATAGTTATTAGAGATATTTTAATGAAGGCTTCTCTCCCGTGTTCCGTAATAAGTACATCAGGGAATTAAGATCTTATTTTACAATAGAAGAGGATATTTTAATTCTTGCAGGGCTATATTACTAATATCACATGCTATAATTTTTTCACCTCATTAGCTTATAAAGGCTTTCTTTCTCATTAGGAATCTGCGTGCTAAAAAGCATTTTTTCCAAGCTCGCTTGGATAAGACTTTTGAGATTCGACCTTGGTGATGGACTCTGGTGTACCTAACTTTTTCTTTAGACGAAAAAAAACATAATGTTGTACATTATTAATGTAATATATATAAATCTTTAATTCTTATTTTTATTGATATTAAACAACGATAACTAATTTTGTTTATTCAAACTGATTTGTTATAGTTCAACTGTTTTTCTTTCATCTACCATTTTCCTCGCTATAGTGAGGTGAAAACTTGTGTGTTTCGCTCGGCAGCAAAGTTGTTTTGTCGTGCGTTGAAACGCTCGCTACGCTCAGGATTCCACGAGCGAAGCGAGTGCTTCAACCTTAGACCCATTCGCTTGCTCAGGTTTTCAACCCAAGCACTCGCGTCGAACAACATAACACAATTACCAAAAAGAAACTTTTCAATTTTTGTTGTACTTTCTGACACTTTTTAGATCTGTATCTGGTAGTAAGGTTATAAGTTCAAACATGCAGGCGTCCTCTGCGACGACCCCCACCCGCGCTTCTGCGCTTTGCACTGATTTATAAGTTATTACGGAAAAGCGATCTATTTAAGAGTCAATACAACCTTAATTGGCTTTGATTGATTCCAAGTGAATCAATCAATTTGGAAAAAATATAAAATGAACCGTATTAGCACTGGAAAAATTTGAATTCGAGTGGAGGTAGTATCGACTCTTAAATATTTTTGTATGAAAGTAAAATTTTATAAATCATTAAAAATGATGGCACTAAAGTTGTTGTTTATGATGTTAGTAATATAGTCCTGAGAGGTTGTTACTATTTTACGTATAAACATCTATATATCGCGGAATGAATTCATTTCAAAGCCTACGCAACCGCGTATCATTTCGCCTTAATTATTTTTTTACCTTTTGAAAGGAAATATAGCAGTGTTAGTAGTTACTTTTTATTTGTCACCGTTTATCAGAGCTTATCTCTTTGTCCGACCATTTCGCGTAAGCGAACAAAGAATACAAAAACCAGGAAATATGCACCTCAGTGGCGTTTTCAAGAGATATTTCCGAGTTTAAACCGCAATAGATGGGATTTCCTTTGAAAGCTGAAAGCTTGTTCAAATACACATAAGTACCTTTAGCGAAACAAAAAAAAAAAGAGATTTATTTATTTATTTATTTTCATAAGGCATATCTACAGCATGTGTATTAATACATTGAAACTACTTAAAACTAAAGATAAAACTCCGGTACTCAAGCTAATTACAGATGTACACGACATTCAATGACTTACACCTAGAGGCCAATTAAAAAAAAGTAGAAAAAAAATCAATTAAACTAAATTTAAGTTGAATCATCATAACCATAATAAAGAATTATAAAAGAATAGCAATCACACAATTAATCGGGTACGCTCGCAGATATGTGTTTTAAAATGTCAAATTTGTACGTATAAAAGGGTATATATTATGTAAGGGTATAAAAAGTATGTCCAGATTAAGTATATATATTTTTTATTTATCTCAGGTTACAAAAGACCCATAAACACATACCTTATAGACTAACATACCTAATAATATGATAAAAACAATTTATTTATTTACACGTATGGACCGCGACGTGTTACGCAACGTGGGTATCCGATAGCCGTCCTCGGAAACGCCGTAACATGACACTCTTCGACCAAAATTCCTCCTTCATGAAAGTCGACAGATGTTAAGTTGGTACTCTCACCACAGATGAATTAAAATTCTCCTTGTGGCGGGACTCCAACTGCTCGACCCTCAGGGCTGCTTAGGCTTTCACCCGTATGTACTCCACAATATCCGCAGACTTTGTGGAGTTACGAAGTCGTGACACGTATAGCAACGTCGTCGGTAACGCTGGACGCAATAGATGGTTGGGGCCAGTCGGGGCGGTGCCACTAAGGTTACGGCTAGTGTGCTTCTTTTTTTTTTCCACCTTTTTGAAGCCGTTCTCGTCGCACTGGTCTACTCCTCTCGGTGGTACTGACGATACAGCTCCAGAGATGCGTTTCCGCTTTTTTTTCTTCCCCTTCGTTGGTTGCCTGGGTTGTGGTTGTTGAGCAGTCGGTTGGGTAGCAGCGGCAACAGCAGCGTAATCACGTCGAGGGGTCAACGTGCTTACGAGTGACGTATCCGCCGGGGCGGAAAAACGAGGGGCGGGGCACCATTGAATTAAAGTATTGCACATAAACTTACTCACACAAATATAAATACAACATGCAGAAGCACACCTTTGCAACTTCTCTTTTAACTGGCTACACATCCAAATTTGTTTAAGTACTTTTGATATTTTCTTGATATCTATATGAACTTGTATCTTAATTCTCGTCCTTTCCAAAAAAAATGTAGTAATTTAATTTAATTTTGCAAATGAAAAGTAAGTAAGTAATTGATCACAATCCATTTTTACTGTTGATTTGCTGTACCTAACTAATTTATGTAAAATTGTTTTTAACATGAATGTAAGTACACTTCGCGGAACGGGGACCTCTGGTGACCTTGTAATACAGGCATAAAAATGCCTATGTCAGGCACCAGTCTCTCGCAAATAAAGTTTAATTTTGAAACTTGCTAGTCAGTGCGTATTTATACAATTTACTTTGTATGTTGAGAAAAAATAATAAAAAAAATATTAAAATTATTATTATTATTGAGTTCATTATAAGTGCAACGAACACTAGACACAGCTGCATCTTTAACAACATTGGTTCTACAAACCGATGGATGGAACAACCGAGTGATGGGCTTCCGGGGTAGGTTACCTATACGTAACCGAAAGTGAAATACGAGGAAGCAAGTCCTCGTACTTCAAGGTGAGATATAATAGTAACGTTTATATTGAAATAAATAAAAATTAGGCATCTAGTAGCAATTCAATGACACATCTTTTAACATCGACTTACTACAGAGTACAGTCTTACTTTATCTCTATTGAAAAAATATACATAAAAAGAAATGATTTTGTAATAATGTACAAACGACTGAAAAATATAAGAATATTTAACTGTTTAACGTTGATTAAATCAAATTTTAACAATTTTTTTTTTTCAGCTAAAGTTTACGAAATTTACGCAAAATTGACCTCGAACCACTTGACAAACCAAATTAAAAGAAAGGAATGAAGAAAATTAAAAAAAAAATGAAAGTTAAAATAACATAAGCGGCCAGTCTTTTGAAAAAAAAAAAATATTGCATAATTTTGAGAGTTTTACTAAAGTTTTTTTAATGTTAGCTTAATGTGCAACTGTCTGTAGTATCGAATATCAACATCGACCCTTTTGCACGTCCCACTGCTGGACCCGGGTCTCCACCCAGGTGAGGTTTAGGCCATAGTTTCCCTAAGTGGTCCCTATCAAGTGGGCGCTGAAGAATCCTAGGTAGGGGCCTCGGAAGCAATTGGAGGGCGTTGATGCTGTCCAGGGGGTTCTACGGCATTTGAAAAATTCTGAACTATCTATACAGAATACACTACATATAACAGCTAGCTAGGTGAAGATTGAAAATCAGCAATGCTGAGTCTAACCTTTTTGTCCACATCACTGAATAGATTTTTTTCTATTCGTTTTTTAAGTATTGTGTATTCTTATGTTTTATGGAGAAATAAACACCTTTTTATTATCATTTTTTTAATTTATATATATTTTTTTTCCTTGTGTAAAAATATATATTTGTACTTTTCCATTTTTTTTGTTAGGTTAATATAAAAAATACGTTTTCAATTATTTTTTGTGGTGGTGGTAGATGAGCCAAGAAGTTTGGGTACCCGTGGATTAGGACATAGTCGGCCACACTGGCCCAATGCGGATTGGGGACTTACACACGTTTTCCGTGGATTGTGAACCTTTTTCGCTGTGCAAGTTTCATCACAATGTTTTCCTTCACCGAAAATGATGTACCTTACTTATAAAATAAAATAAAAACTCATTGTCAATTCTAAATTCAATTCTACACATAAATTCCGAAAACTTCAGAGGTGCGAGACTGGATTCGAACGTCCTCTGCTTAGGAGGTGGTAGATCAAACCATTAGGTTACCACGCCTATAACAGCCATTTCAGTAGCACTAGAGCTCCATACCTATTTCTGCCGCCAAGAAGTAATGCCCCACATTACAGCGTTCCGATTTTGAAGGGTATTTATATCTCAAATTAACAGGCGCAGTCTCAGTCTCCCCTTAGATCTTTGATTTAAAGCTCTGCGTGATTATACGCGTGATTCCGCTTCTAACGCACCGTCGCGTGACGCGGTGCAGTGTGTTAATTGCCATAAGTCTCAGGGCGACGACGGGCGCAGTGGCGTGCCCCTAAGATCTTTGCGATTTAAAGCTCTATGTGGCACTGTTGTGGACAGGCGTGTCGCTTACCACCAGGCGCATGACTTGTTCGTCCCGTCACATGATATTATAAAAAATCTTTTTAAGAATATAGTGTTGTGGTTTTTTTACGACTTCAATTTTGTTCACACAAAGGATTATTGCTTTTTATTAAAAGCAATTTATACTTGGTATTACGAAAGTAATACGTTAACAGCTCAACAACAAACAAATTATCATTCAGAAACTCAATATCGCATGTAAATTTACTGGTTGTCAAGAAGAGACCTGTTATTTATGGCATCGCCATTTCTTTCCATTTAGTAGTTCCTCGGACGTTAGAACATGATGGACGATCTCGGTTCGATGCCCAGTAGGACTCAAAGTAAAATAAATCTTTATTTCATAGGTAAGCAAACTACTTCTGCTGGGATACTTGGATGAAAGCTCATAGAATAGTCGTTCCTTATCGTCGATCGCCTGCTGCCGCTTCCACCGCGTGGGGCGGTAAGCTGACATCAATGATGAGTGCGATTATGTCTCTTAGAGTGCGACTTTTAGCGATTGCATCGCTACACTTGCGATTTATAGGCGATACACATGCGCGCTTTTAAACAGTGATACAGATACAAACGCGCATTTGCATCGCTACACTTGCGATTTATAGGTGATACAAACGCGCGTGTGAATCGCCTATAAATCGCAAGTGTAGCGATCGAAACGCCCATTTGTAACGATGCTGTCGCGCGCTTTAATCACTGCTTAAATCGCGCGTGTGTATCGCCTATAAATCGCAAAAGGAGCGATGCAAACGCGCGTTTGTATCGATGCAGTCGCGCGCTTGCATCACTGCTTAAAATCGCGCGTGTATATCCTCTATAAATCCCAAGTGTAGCGATGCAAACGCGCGTTTGAATCACGCAGTCGCACGCTTGCATCATTGCTTAAAATCGCGCGCGTGTGTGTAAAGATAGACGATTAGCGACTGCATTGCTCCCAAAAGCCGCCATGTGTAACTGCTCTTAGGTTGATCATACAACTACGTAAATAAACGCCTTCTTTACTCTCCGTCGCTACGTATACATATACACATTACAACCATTTATGTTCGAAATTCTGTGCAGATTTAGTCGCATATCAAATCTGGTTATTTAATCTGAGGCTTCAGATAAAATGATTAAATAAAAATACTGGGAATATAATGGGCTTATTTGAAAAACTGGATGCCAAACTCGCTAATGAAAGAAGTTTGACAGGATGATATATGATGATAAGATTATTATTATTAAGGTAATAAGTGAATATTTTTATCGCATGTCAATGAAAAATTATTCACAGAAAATTTTGTTATGACAATTTTTTTTAACCGACTTCAAAAAAGGAGGATATTCTCAATTCAACGTATTTTTTGTGTTTATATTACGCGATTACTTCGACATTTTGTGATCCGACTTCGATGATTATTTTTTTTATACCCCCTGGCATATCACTAGTGGTCACATAAAAATTTGAAAAAAATATTCCACCTCTAAGGGTACAAATTAGGGTATGAATCCGGCTTATTCCGACTATTCGTTAACCAATTTAAATAAACTTAGCAAATAGATAAATTCTTGAAAAAAAAAACCAACTAAAAGTTGAAACTATTGTTTTAAGATAATATAATTGTGTGTACGTAAATATAATGTGATTATATATATATGTAATGTATATAAATATATATAATAATAATATATAATATGTAATATTATATATATATAAAACAAATTAAGGTTTCTTTTTTTTTTTTACGAACTTGTTTAAATCCTAAAAAAAAAAAATATTCGAACTAACCGAATAGAAAAAGAACATCCTATTAACTTAATGCATTAACCAGTTTCATTCACACTGTCACATTCACATACAAACAAATTGTTCTCTCATTCACCCACGCTCGAACCTCATCACACCACACACACTATCAATACGACCGAGCCAGTTACCCACACAAACATACAAGCGCAGCCCGACTACCGCCATCGACGCAACGAGTTCAGCAATGTACGGGAAAACGACATAGTTTATGTTACATTGCATTAAACATGTTTTGTATATTTTTTATGTGTAATAAATAAATAAAAAAAAAAAAGATATAATTCCACAAACTTTAGAGGTATTTTTTTTTATAATTTATGTATTGAAGCGATAGGACGAACAAGTCATGAGCTTGGTGGTAAACGACACGCCTATCTATAACAGCTGCAGTGTCACTCAGAGCTTTAAATCGCAAAGATCTGAGGAGCATTGCCACTACGCCCGTCACCCAGAGAAGCAAGTTGACAAGTCCTATGTGCCTGTAATTTCACCAGGAACATTACCCTTCCAAACCGGGACGCAATAATGCTCACATTACATGTTCGACGGCAGAATTAAGTAAGGCTGTACTTCCCTAGATGACCTCTTTCTCAAGAAATTCTATTGCTAATAAATTCTATTTTACTTAAAGAAGCATAAAACTAATTTTACGGGTTTACTTTTTCATTTCATTCAATTATTTTCTGGTGCGCAGTGGCTACTTGTTAGGAATTTTTGTTGTATCCTCACTAATCTATCGTATACCAGGAAAGAAACAAAGTTTAAATTAGATTCGTGTGGTCTGTCACTCAGAGAACTGAACTTTCTGCAATTATAATTTGCAACAACCCCTAAAACGCGTACTTGGCATCGAGCATAATTTGTGTATACTTAGTTTCTGTATTCTAAGGTCCGGCCATAATGTCGTAGAAAACATATGACATAGTTAGTAAATAGATCTAGATGTTTTAACGTTATTAAAAAGGTAATCAATCAAAAGTTTTCAATATAATCCTAGACAGTAGATGGCGATCTGGATTGCGTTTTCAAATCCACAATGGAAGAAAACAAGCATGGTGTAGATTTTCGTTCAGCTGTGGGCCTACAAATTATTGGGCATATTAGACTTCCTTTGCTTTTGCAGTCGTGCCTTTGTCGTGCACACCCTGTGACATTTATTGATTTCTGTGCGCAGCCTGCGCGCGCATCTGTCAAAATCAGCAAGCGACAATTCGCAAGATTATTACCCAAAATTTTTGTGATTATTCGTTCTCAGTGATAATTTCAACGTAAAATTTAACTTTCTATGTGATAGTCACTCAATTTAAGTGTTAAATAAATTTGTTGGTGTGACATTGTTGTGCGTAAGTATTTTATTTTAAGAGAATGAGGTTATGATGTTCAAGTTTCATTCAATTTGCGCAAAAAAAGTAAATTGTTACTCTTCATTGAAATCAAATTACGTTACGTCTTAATCACGATATGAGACCCTGATAAATGCATTGTTGAGAGGTCATTGTGTCACTGATTTCTGTTATAAATACAATGGACTAGGTTAACATTTAGCTTTGGTTTTGATCTTTAATAACATCTCTTTTCGATTTAGTAGGTTCCTTGTAATATTGTAAGAAATTATAAATTTAAATTAATAAGGGCATAAATACATGTCTCAATTATTTAAAACAATGTTCAGATTTGCGCTTAACAGTTTGTGTACAGAAATGAATAGTCAAGAGCAGTTCGAACTAGATTTCTCAATTTGATATCCTTCGGCAGGTGAACTACGAATTGTCAACTAATGTTGGAAGTCAACAAATTTTGAATTTATATAAGTAGAAACAATGAAAGTAAAATATGAGATGCCCTCAGATATGCTGCGCCTACACTTACCGACTTTCAAGAAGACATTCCACAACTTGCCTCATTGGCTTCTTCATCGTCACTCTAGTCAGTATTCTTCAATTGTATTCACACAAACATTACGCGCACTCATACAAAGAGCATATAGCCGGTGATTTTGACTACAAACCTGGGGCATTTCTCAAAGGATCATTTCCAAATAAAAGTAACAATTACTGTGGATTCAACTACGGCCTCCCTAGGACACTCAACTTTAGCTCGTTCCGCGTCTATCCGTCCCTTGAAGCTGGAACCAAAAGCCCGTATAGAATTATTTACAACGCCATCGAAGCCTTAGCCTATCGAAACCTTAGCAAGTATGATGAAGTAACCTACGTCACACATGCTACCCCAGAGTTTATTTATCACATTGTTGAAATCGCCAGGTATTGGAATGGCCCTATTAGTCTTTCTATTTTTGTACCAGATTACGATCTTGCCATTGCAATGCAGATTTTGAGCCAACTTTGCCAGTGTTATCACGGTATGTCAAAAGTTTCTGTTCATCTATTCTACCCTAAAGCTTTCCCCCCAAACGTGAAGAGGCAAAGATATATTCGCACTACAACACCACCAATGACTACTACTGTAAACGTAGAAGAAGTTTTGAAGAAGAAAATGGAGAATTATAGAAATTTATCTGGAAAGGCTAGAGCTGAATATGTGCAAAAAGCGATGAAGAACAAAATAATGAAAATGCTGATACCGGCGCCGACAAGGAGAACTGTGGCACCTATCTTGAAATTCAAGGATTGTTCAGGATTACAATACACTTCGTACAATATCCCTACGTTTAGACAACAGTACAATATGTTATATCCGATAAACGTAGGTAGAAATTCTGCGAGGAATGCCACAAAGACGATCTATTTTCTCGTGTCGGATATAGAGCTTGTGCCAAGTGACGAATTAGCAATACACTTTGTGAATATGTTTCGAAAGTTAATAAGCGGAAATAGGAGTATAATTCCCAGGACGGTATTTGTAGTACCGCTTTTTGAAGTAGCGAAAGGTGAACTGATGCCGCGCGATAAAAAAACGTAAGTAACTGTAGTATTACACTTACGCACATATGATGAAAATTAAAATTTGACATTATATGAATCTTGATATAAAATGTTTAATAAAAATTATTCTGATAGATAGAGAGATGATTTCGTATTTCGGGTTGATTTGTTGTTAGAGAAAATAAACTAGCTATTCTTGACAGTCTGTCAAGACACAGTCACAAATCGACTCATCCGAAGAACAGAGTCCGATGTGATTATACAATGAAAGGAGCATAAATACATAATCTCGTTATTTAAAAATAGACCTGGCTCTAGGTGTTTTCAGAATTTTATGTATTATTTCGTTTCGGAAATTTAAAATCGAACGGTCAATTTGATATCCACAGTTAAGAACAGAGCACAATATGTATACAATGTCCTGAGAATATGCAATCTTGCACATATGTCTTTGTTCTATTGCAATGCATACGCTTCTGTAGTGAGATTCTGATTGATATTAAAAATTTGCCATTATAATAATAAATAAATAATATACGACAACATTATATTTGTTGCTTTTATCTCAAAGTGAGCGATTAAAGCACTTATGTTATGGAAATCAGGAACAACAACAGTACTACAAACACCCAGACCCCAGACAATATAAAAAATTTAGTTTTGTACATTGACTCGGCCGAGGATCGAACCGGGGTCTTCGGAGATGGCGACACCATGAAAGCCGGTGTACAAGCCACTCGACTATGGAGGTCCTTTACTATTTACGAAGTTTAAAACTACAGTAAATCAAAAACTTTTTAGAAAGGTTATTTTCTGCGTACTTGGATGACAAAATCCATGGTAGTAACCCATATAGCTCTTGCAGGTTATCTTGATCTGTCATATTTGAATTAAATATTGTAAATGATAAATGTATACAAATGTTTATTAATAAACAGCAACCCCAAGAATCTCTTACTTATACTTCTCAACAGAATCTGCGTGACGAATGAGTAGTACTTATTGACTATTTCAAGTGTAATTTGCTTACTCATGAAATAAAGATTACTTGAGTTTGAATGTTTCCAAAATAAAACAGTATTTTATGCAATCGTTGCATAATGGGGGTTTTTAAAGTCGGGTACCGTGGTTAGGCCACGAGGCTTTGAAGTAATAGGCACGAGTTTTTAGACCTAATTGTGTAATGAATTTGTACAATACTTTTTCTATGAGTAAACAGAGCCAATATTTAATGTATATTTTGTTAACAATCCGTAACACAGATTACTATTTAAACTAGTCAGGTCCATAACAACACGCTACATTTGTTTTAAATTAATGTTCACTCATTTATTTGGCAATGATGCCACCATACAGCCTCTTCATATATTTAGAGGAAAGCCGAACAAACCATAAAAAACAAAAACCAGAGAGATAGAAGTGGCCAAGTGCCGCTTATATTTTAAACAATTTTTTTATAGAGGTTTATGGCACGGTTGTAAATCTTTAGGGCAATTTAATCAATCTGCAGCCCGATTCAGAACTCCTCAGTATTTTAACCGAATCGTTCGATTAGATATCGTTCTCGAATCGAAGGCCGCTTTCCGAGCTATTCAAAACATTCGCGTTAAACTTTCCATTCAGAATATTACGATAACTCGGTTGTCGACCGATTTCTTTTCGTTTTTATTCACAACACTCGGTCCAACGTCAAAGTGTCGTATTCGGAACCTAAATGACGTCACACTCGTACGACTACACGATTCGTATGACGATTACTAGAACTTCTCGACTAGCAAAGGCTATATACGTTATACAGAACATAGTTACGGATGAAAGTTACCGAACGTCCTATTGTTTACAAAGCAAGAATTAAATAAAGTCGGGTTTCTTCAATTTTGTTAATTTATTTTAATGCAAGACTAATGCATTCCTACATTTCAGGCCTTTAATAAGTCTTAAAAATGTATTTAAAAGGATTGAGTGCTCTGAAGAGTTATTCAACCTTATCCCTTCCTCTCCTTTCCATCAGCGGACCACCCGTGCCGGACTGCGTTGCCACAGTTGGACGGTCAGTTCAATACCGTCCCGCACTAAAAAGTTTGGCAATTCGTTCTTATGCCGAACCATCAAATTGTGGAACCAACTCCCGGCGCATGTATTCCCTCCCCTCTATAACATCGGGTCCTTCAAACGTAGTGTGAAGAAGCATTTGGCCAGACCGGCAAAATGATAGTGACGGAGTGAAGATATTTGTGTTTTCCATCCGTTACTCTCATCTCTGGACTGTATTCGCACTTTCCATCAGGCGCGGTGCAGTCATTTTGCCGAGTCACAATAAAAAAAAAAAAAAAAAAAATTTAGTTTTTTTTATAATCTATTTGACCGACTTACTCCGTAAACACTGTTGGATAACGATATCGTAACCGAACCCGAATCGAACGTTTTACGTGTTTTACGTTTAGATAAATGTAATAAATTATGTGTTAAATATGTTTTAAGTTTGTATGAATAATCTCTGCTGCTTACGATTCGCATCGTCATTTAATATACGTACGTCTAATCCAGGTACTTATGACTTGGCGCTTTTTGGTAACATCTTCAAACTCTTCCCTCCCATCCACATTTGCGTTGTAAACGTATGCCGCTGTTCACTACTATTCATCCAAATTCATCATCTACAATATCGATTCTTTACTTAACAAATTTATTTTAATATCGAATACATAATAGTCGGATGCCGGCTGAGGTAAGAATCGTAAAGATACTTGCTATTATAAAGTTAGTATTTCGCGATTGTTATACATAGGAAACGAAGCTATTTATAAACGGGCTTCTTTTGCATGGACCTGAGGTGTGTAGTTTTGTTTGACAAATACACGCTATTTAGATCCGAAAAAATAGTTTTATTTCTTATACTTGCTATTGATTTTGAATAACCTGCCCGCCAAAAGGTATTTCAATCTCTTTTATAGAATATCTCGGTGTATTTTGTCGTTTATTCTTTCTTTGATCCAACTAGGTATTCGTTGCAGTACTTATCTTCGAGTATTGTAGTTGATATGTTGGTGTGGCCTCACTTGTAAAGCGATAGCGTTTTGGTTATGGAATGTGCGCCACAATGGTGATGAATTTGCTAACCTAATGATACATGGGAAGCGATGGTTTTTACTTCAGTGTTTAGCAAACTTCTACCCGTACCGTTAGTGGGCACTAACGATACGGGAAAGCAAGGAATTTTTAGGTGACGAATAGTAATATACCTTAACATTATGGCATTATAGTTGCTATTCCAATGATAATGATCGTAGCTGCAAAATAAAGCTGCGGTTTGCTTTGGGATGCCGAATCTACAGCCTCCGGAATCTCTCGGCAGCTTTTTTTCTAGGTACCTCCAGCAACAATGCCGCAGTCTTTGTAATCTGTATACTCATTTATACCAATTCTCGCTTGTATGCTACTCGTACTTTTATCCTTCATTCCATTTCTTTCTTTCATTCTTAACGGGTGGATTGCCCGTCTATACTATTCTGACTACTTTATTTATTTGTTTATTTATTTATTTTATATACCACCTGGTTTCATCATACCCTAAGAGCAACTATCACCAGGTTGCGATCTACGGTGGCCCGTGTTTATGTCCTTAAATTGTCTTCGCACTTAGGTAGGACGCTGCAGAGACACGATGTGTAAATGGGGTTTCATTGATACTAGTCCAACCCTATGTGACTGCGGTGCCCCAACACAGTCCGTGCAGCACTTACTTGCCCCTTGCGTTCTAATACCTGTATGAGGGAAGATCTCTACGCGGTTTCGGACAGCGCAGTCAAAGTAGCAACGTACTATTTAGGGTCAATATAGTCCTAAAGTAAACGCAGTGTCAACACGATAAGAGGAAGGATTTCTTTATTAATTTTTACAGGAGGACGAGGGGTCTAAATTTTTCTTTTTTTATTTTCTGCATATTACACTTTTTCTTCATATTATCTGTTACATTTCTTTGCCTTATATCTATTACAGGGGTAAGTCTCGCTTAACAGGTTTTCTTTATCTAAATCTCCTTTAATATAATATTTTATAACTTTCTTTTATTTTTGCATTCCTTCTAAACATTTCCCAAAAGTCTGTTGTTTATTACTTATTACATTTATCTACTTTCTATAGCTACGATTTGTTACATTAAATATACTCAATATTTTGTTAACATTTTTTTATTAATCGATTTTATTTTTATTATTTACTGTATTTACTATTGGTACACAATATCTTATGAAAATGTCCTTATTTCTATTTTATCATTATATTGCCTGAGTTATCGTTTGGTAACTTTTTATTTACTTCTTGTTCTACCTTGAATCTTTCAAAACCGAAAACCGGGCAGTCCAGTAGAACGTGGGGGACACTTTCTGCCGTCTCAAGCTCACAGCACAGATCTACGATGGGTTCTCCTTGCACTTGAAATGGTACAGGTTCTCGGAGAACCCACCGTGACCAGTAATTAAATGTGCCGTCACTCCTTCACTTCACTATCTTATGGGCTACTATTGCATCAAGGACAAAATATCTTTGTAACGCCGGCCGTACCTCTCGTTCCATTTGTCAAGCGAGCGCGATCAAAAGTCCCGCTTGACGAATGAGGCGGGGCACCGGTCGTAGTTCGTATTCTTTTTCGAGTTTAACGCAGCCTCCTTAGCTAACTGGTCCGCGCGCTCAGCCCTCTAGTCATTGCAAGTTCCTTCATCCAGTATACAGCAACAGTTTTATTTTGCTGTGATAAAGTACTAATGTTGGTTCTGGTTTTGACGGCTAGAGTGTGTAAGCGGTCCAGTCCCGTTACTGTTTGGAGTGCGGCTCTGGAGTCGCAGTAGATTGCGTACGTGTTCTCTCTGCACCTGAGGATTTCTCTACTGGCTTCACACAAAGCGCAGAGCTCCGCTTAGTAGACGGTGCAAAAAGACGGCAGACTATATTAATACACATGGATAGTGAGGTCCCGCCGTCAATGTTGCTGCCGTCGGTGAAGATACGTATGTCGTAGTTGCTGTTTGCATCTACTTGTTCCTGGTCTACCAGCGTTTGTAACTCGAGGCTTACGTGTTCAGTTGGGTGTGGAGTTTCAATGACTGAGATCGTCCGTTCAACTTCCCTACCCGCTATTTCTGGCCGGGGCACCCCCTTCTCGGCCTCATAAAGTGAAGCCGCCTCGTGGACTCTGAGGTCTAGAGGGAATATCCCAGACAGCAGCAGTACCGAATTTAATGACACTGTACAGTATGATTTGCATATTTTTTTGTAGAAAACTGCGTTGTACGACCTCTAGCTTTTTTCTAATGCAGACCTTAGTGACGGCCGGTGCCCACACACTGGCTGCATACAAGGTGATCGGCTCGATTGTGGCGGTCTATATAATTCTCACAATCTCGGGGTGTAAGCCCTACCTTATTTTTGCCACTCTAATCAGTTGCTTATAGGCAGCTATTGCCTTTTTGCACATGTTTTTGACGTATATGTTAAATGTGAGCTTGTTATCTATTGTGACTCCCAAAAGTTTGATTTCATCTGTTACGCCAATGCTGGTCTGGTGTCTTATTTAAGTTTCCTTGTGATCACCATTGCGTTTGTTTTCTGTGGTGCGAACTTTAGCTTATTTGCGACCCCCCCCACCATCGAGAACAGCATTGGCTGTCGAAGGGGTTGGTTGGCTGTCGAAGGCTCCCTGTCCAAAGATACAAGAGTGATTATTTTCTTCTGGTCTAGTTTAGTTTTTATGTGTCATTAGGGCATAGAGCGTCTTCAGTGCTTCTCTGGGGTATGAATCCGTACTGGCGAGTACTCATCTTCGGAATAAAGTGGTATTTTACTCTCGTCATTATCTAGTAAGTAAGCCGTCGTATAGTTCTCCTTCCCAGGTTTTGACATTGTTGCAAATATCAGTGGTGAACCCATCCGAGCCGGGAGCTTAGGGTTTCCCTTGTCAGTTTTGGGGATACCTCGGCAAGCATGGGATGCCTCGGTAGCCTTGTGGATGCCTCGGCAGCCTTCGCGATGCTTCGGAAGACCGAGTGCGAGTATGCGGGTATGCGGGGCGAATGGAGGCACACACGGCAAAACTGATCTGATGAGAGACCAGGTGTGAGCACAATGTGGCGACGGAATGCGACGGAAGGCATGCTTAAGGATGCCGCGTCGTACTTAGGGATACCGCAGCATAATTGCCATCAGTGTGCGCTTGCATGTAGGGATTCCGAAGGATTCTTGGCCGAGCCATCCCGTCAGTGGGCGCTTTTTCTTAATTCTTGTCTATTACAATGATAGGTTGACCAATAAGTCCAAATTTACTTGAAATGAATAAACCTATGAAGACATACGCTAGGCAGTGATGTCTAGCAAGATTGAGTGGAGCTCGATAGAATACTTCTTACAAGGAATTCTAAGTCACACACACTTAAATTTTCTTCAGTGTTCGTATGTATTACTTCTTTCTTGTATTGTAGATTGGTTGAAATGGTAGCGGAGAATCGAGCCACATACTTCCATCAAAAAGTCTGTTCACACTGCCAGAGATTCCCTGGACTTCAAACTTGGCTCAGCAGGCCACAACCCGAAGGAGTAGAGGTAAGCGATGGATATTATTTATTTATTAATTTGTCGACAGACACAAAAATCATTCAATATTTATACACATTTCATACATAAGTTTATCAGTCCGTTTGTTATGTCAATTAAAATTTATAACAATTTACACGTATAATAACAACATATTGTTCTATGAGTTCTGTAATCTGTAAATTATAATTTCATAAATCATATCATAAGGGCTCTTTTTTCAGTTCTGAATCAAAATTCTGTTCTCTATGGTACTCGCCACTGAGCTGAAAATTTTCATTATAGTACTGTACACACATCGAGTATATAACCAGAAATAAAGACGAAATAATGGCCTTATATTCGTGGTAACACATTAGCGGTACAGCTCTTATAAATATCAACTCTCGTTTGCACTGAAATATAGACAGGCCAACTGCTGAACTGTGTGTACGTCTCCGTATATTCCAAAAAATATTCTGTATTTATTGTAATAAAGATAATATCTCTAACAATGCCGTGCTGTTCAATTCGGTGGTATAGGAAAAACAGCAAAACATCTAATTACAAAACAAACGGAGTCACATTTCATCGGTAATTAAATATTAAATATGTAATTTTGCAATTTTCGTCCAGTATAGCAAAGCTCAAGATAACTGGTCGTTTTGAAGTGAAACAGTTGACGACACCCATTGACGACACCCGTCAATTGTTTCGAATTCGGGCTAGCCAATCGGAGCTCAGTTATCACAGTATATATGGCAGAATAGTTTTCAAACAAATTAAATGACATTTCGCCTCTATTTCTGGTTATATTCTCGATGTGTACACAGGACTATAATGAGTTTCAAAAAAAGAATATCACATTTTTGCTAAAATGTCATATTAAATCTATGAAAACATTAATTAGGACGCTGGTCAAACGCTGTATCGAGCGGGGTTCCTTTCGCCAGTAAGTTTGGCAATGTTGTATAGCGTAATACCTTTTTAGAAATTATTTATATGTATTTATAATACAAGTAAATTATGTTGTCAGATCTGAGTTGGTTCTTGGTTGCGGTTGGTCCGTTACTTTTAATTGTATACAGGGAATGATTAATGATTTAAGATTGAAAGTCGGACTAGGTGGAGATCGTTATGTCGTTGACGTCATTTAGACTGAATTTTTGTGTTTTGGCAACACTTAAGCTTACACAACAGCTTAATGCTAAGCTTATTTTATTTTGCATGAATATTTTTTACAGTTTTCGTAATGAATGAAATTACAACGATTAATATCTTTGTTAATAAATGCTAATTCTTCGATATACATAAATCATCAGTTGTTTAATTCCAGACATTTCAGCAAAATTCAGACAACTTGTCGGTTATTTCAATCCCTTAAAGTTGATTTTCGCCTGTAATCCTATGTAATGTTAATCAACTGTAATGGTAGTTAAGCTATGCAAGATGTAATTAATTGCCACCCACTCTTAGCACGACGCGACGGCCGCACAATTTGCTTCTAAAATTAGACCATGTATTAACCAAAGCACTTTAGGAAATTATGGACGTGTCATAGAGATTGTCATTATGATATTATGTTATTATCATGGTTTTCAGCCATCTAGCATAGCATTTATGGTTATAGCTTACGTAGAAGATGACGTGATTAAAAGATTTCTGTTTGGCTTATGAAAAAATGTAATATTTTCTCAAATTAATTCACACCCTTGGTATGATAAAGCCACTTGTGATCTTACGTTGGAAGCGCTTTTATCACATAAAAATCATAAAAGTATATAATGCGGACTACACGAAACAAATTATGTTTATGTTTATAGCTGTAAACCCCATTTTATCAAACATGAAATCCTGACTCTCCCATGTATCTATATACTAGAAGTTTGTAAATTTGTACGAAACCATCAAGACTTATATAAAAACCGTAAAGACGTCCCCACTAAATATACATTACGAAATATAAACAGATTAGTACTACCATATTCAAGATTAAGTATGCATTTATCTGGTCCATACACCATGTCAATAAAAATATATAACAATCTTCCGGAAATTATAAAAAATGAACAAAATAACAAGATTTTCTTTAAAAACTTAAAGAATTTTCTCATAAATAAAAGTTATTATAATGTAAAAGAGTTTTTAGAAGATAAATTTGGTATCTGAATTTAGTAACTAGTCGATAATAAATATAATAATATAAAGCTGTTGGCGTTGGTATATATCAAATTATATATTAGTAAGTGTAACAACTATGAGACTAGTCCTCTCTTCTACTATTTGCTGTGCCCTGTTCAGGGTCCATAATTTGATCTCAATATATGTAAAACATCTGTAATGTACATTATGGAATGCAAATAAATAAATAAATAAATGTGAAATTTTATAATTTTTCCATTTAAGCATAAACAACTTACCAATTAATTTCGTTCTTAGAAACTTTAACCCAGCTAACATTGGCAAAGGTGCTGAACATTAAAATATATTTGATATAATTATATTCTTTAGCCTAAACGCAAGCAGTAAGAATTGTAATTGAGGGGAAGATAGAAGGAAAAATAAGGAGAGGACGGCCAAGAATGGCGTACAGTGAACAAACAAAGAAGTACATCAAAATCAGCAGTTATAAAGAGGTTAAGGAGCTGCCTACGAATCGTGAGGAGTGGAGGAGGCTACACCGACAAAAGCCTGGCTCTTAAATACGGTGATGAAGCACAAAAGCACTTTTTCTGTTTTGTATGAAAAACGCAATTGGGATTTTTTAAAGTATTTTTCTTCGTCCTAAGAATACAGTGCTAAATTTGAGTGCGATATTATCCCAATAATGTGCACTGAGCGTTTACGTGATCACAGGAATAATGTTGTCTCGATTTGAATTACTTATTACAAATATTACATATTATTACTTCAGTTACTATGTAGCAGTAGAGCTCCTTGTGAAAGCGATCGTCTAAGGAAGTACTGCCACCTTACCTATTTCTATAGCCAATCAGTAATATAAGTATATTACTGCGTTCCAGTTTTAATGGAAAAGGGTGCTGGTGATATTATAGACACATGGGACTTGTCAATTTATATCTCAGGGTGATTGACACAGTGGCAGTGCCCCTCAGATCTTTGCGATTTAAAACTCTAAGCGGCACCGCAAATGTCACGGACAAGCGTATCGCTTACAACGACACACACGCTTATTGGTCTCGTCATTTTGTATCATAAAAAAGTTTAGTTTTAGAGCTTCAACGTCGCTCCTGAAAAGTTGTCATTTTGAAGATGTGGCCTTATTACACTAAGGGTGCGACACAATAATGCGAAATGTAGGATGATCTCCAAAGCTATAAAAGCATGTTAGTATTGGAAGACTTGTTCGTGATGTCGCTTGTGCGCCTTTCATACATACATGTATTCATTTCTCCAATTCTGAATCGATTTACATTGTGTTTATAGGTTTTTTTGATAACAGTTTTTTATCCTTATCATTCCATTGGGACATGTGAGTTGACCAATGTTTATAAATTCAAAGCTGTATTGACTACGAGTGAAACGTCTACGTGCCTACGTTTAGGGAACATCCTTGGCTGCTTCCCGATCATATTCCAAGTCCTATTTGACTGTTGTGGAGTCGTTGTTGAAGAATCAACTTAGTTAAAAAGTGTGTGGTTGCTTTCACCACACCCCGGACACTCCGTACACGGTAGAAAGTAAATAACCTAGTAACTACTACGTACGGCAAAGCGCTATCCGCACACGCGCAAATGTGTGCGTGAAGAGTAGGGTTACCTAACACATTCGTGTACTTTGTATAATTCGTGCATTTGTTTATTCTCTGGTTTAAAGTGCATAGTAAGACTTAGTAAGAGTAAGAGCGGCGTAGCGAGCAAACAAATGTATTGTATATGTAAATAATAAGATCGTTACTTATACTAATGATTTTATTACTAAAACAATAGTAATAGCATTTAATAAATATTACACCACTTAAATTAAATAAAGTCAAATATGTAGCCCAAATAAATTAAAAGACTTAACATAATATTACAATAAATTACACTAAAATATTTTCTTTTAAATGTCTTACCTCTAAATAATCTGTTATGAAGTCGCATTATATTGAAAATTAGAAATCGAATAAACAGTTCTTATAACGAAAAAGCTTCACTCTTTATCCCATTTAGGTGAAGATAAAGAGCCATACACTACATAATTAACGACCATCATTTTATTACAGTAACGTACGTTCGTAATGAATAAATTTAAACTGTTTAAACATCAAAGTCGAACGGCTCGTTGACAGCCTTGTTGCCGTTTCGTCAATGTCGGAACAATATGCGGGGCGCGGTTTGGTATTTGGCTAGGGAAGGGCGGAGAGTGAGCTTTCGTTTTACATTTTTCTTAGCTTTCAGTATGGTTACAATTTATTTTGTAGTTTCTTTTTGATTGTTGTTAGTTTCTTTTACATAGTAATATTTTTTCACAGCCTATGATGATTGCTCGACGCGAGTATCCGTACCACCGGTGGGAACCTCTTTATTTCGGGACTAACAAAGAGCCTTGGTACAGTGAGATCCTTTCCTGGGAAGGACAACAGGACAAAATGACTCAGGTAATTTGGTTATAGAATTTGCCTCGACTATTGATAAGAAATGTTTAATTATATGAGAGCAGGTGGCACAGTGGAAAAACGGTTGCTTTTTAATTGCGAGATCCGATCACGGTTCGAGTCTCTGTGATGGTAGTACATATGAATATCATTTCTAAGTCATCAATGATGATTGTCTAGTAGTAGTACCTCTCGCTAACTATGAAGGTAAACGTCGTGATGAAACCTGCAAGTTGAAGAAGTTCCAGAACCTGATTTAGGTCAACGGAACTGTAGCCTAAACTCTCTTGGTACGTGTAATAGTGATATATCTTTCATATAAGCTTTACTACGATTGTCGTTTATGGAAATTTGCCTCGCCATTTTGTTCGTAGATGTTGGAACTCTGCCTACAAAATTATCGGATGGTTATTCTGGATGGCGGGTTCCTCTGTCATGCCGCAGGTCCTACACCAGGGACCAAGAAGTTCCGACACCCTCGTGCACAAAGTATTAATGAAATTAAATATATGAAGATTATAGCTAAGTTCAAAGAAAAATATCGGCCAAGGGGAAAATGTCACATCAACTATGGTTTGGAAACTCCATGACCTCAGTCGAGGAGTCAAAGCAGAGATTTTTCAGGGCTCTAAGAATCGTAGGCATGCATATGAGCGGTTTAGATACATTGCTCAAAAATTCAGCATGCGTCATTGATAGGAAAAACATCGGATGTCTTCAGTCCACTCCAGTCTCATGGTGCTTTGTAAACGTTTTTAGTATTCCATAGTCAAATTGTATAAGTTCGTCGTCAGATGCGCGCTCTTCAACCTGTAGCCATAAATATTATATATTTTTTAAAGGTTGTTGATGACTCAAAAACAGAAATTATGCTTTTTTTTCATTGTACTGTCTTTAAAAGGGTTCAAAATTAGTACAAAAAGTAATGAGGTCGTTGAACCTTAGTGCGTTACACATGGTCAAAGTTGGTAAGGCTTTGGTGTAATAAATAAAACAAAATATAGATTCCAAATTTTCAGGAAAGATATTACGGACAATGTATTATATTATAAGACTATTTACCGCTTTGAGTATTAGATGGTTTCGTTAAGAAATTCGTGAGAAAAATAACGAATGAAAAATAATTGTAAGCGAGTTGATAATTATAGATGTATTCGAAATTTTGATTCAAAAAATTCGCGTTGCCAGTATACCGAAGGCGCATCGCAGTTTGATGTAGTTATAAACGTACAGTACTATTTTCTGAAATCCAAGTTTCGGAAGTATTTGAGTTTTACAGAAATTATCGATTGTCTCGCCCATCCATTCGCTTCTACAATTGAATGGTAATTTTAAACGCTTAGACGTAGGGTGTGATGTCTGTATTGAATTGTCGAATGTGCGAGAAAATTATCATATTAAAGAACACGTTACAATGAAAGATATCGTCAAACTTTCGTGAAACTGGAATAATTACGAAGTTTTGGTTTTAGTTAATAGTGCTGTATAAAGGCGGCCTCACGCGGTCCGTGGTTTTACCCGTTTATTGGCACGCCTGCATGATAAGAGCCTCGTCCATGGTAACGCAGACGCATCCGTAGCTGTGCAAGGATATTGATCCATGCATCGCTACGGACGCGCCTGGAATCGGGAGCCAATTAAAATAGCAGTTGTAATTGGCTAATAATATGTTGTCGTCTGTAATTAGTTAATTATTATCATGAAATGGGCGAGGCCGATGTGTGTTGATGATTTTCGTTCTGTAAATGATTATTTATTCATATGAAACGGGCGGCAGGCCATCAGTGGTCCTCGGCTGTGCGAAAAAACCTGTAAAATCTCGGACCATGTGAGACTGTCTTAACGATTACTTGATTGATGAGTAAATAACAAATATAGACATTTGCCAAATGCCGTTATTATTATTAGTGAAAGGTAAAGAATTGATCTTTAATGACCTAGATGTTACTAGGTGAATGTAAAGAAGTGATTTTAGGAATTTTCGGGTACCTAATTTACTAAATAAATAACCTTCGGCTTATATATATTAGTATCGTACTGTGATTAAATTGTTGTGAATTAGTTGGATTTGTTTAAAGCTATCAAATGTATTCTTAAGCTATTACGGCATATAGGTCTGTGTCTGTGAACACACACCAGATTTAAGCTCCTGTGGCCCTGTGTACGTATGTGTATATGTAAGTCAAAATGTACATAATAGGTCTGACCCGGACAATATTATCCATACAATCACGTAAGAGTGTGTGTACATTGTAATGGAAATATATGAGCATATATTATATGAGCATCTAGAACAATACATTTTTCATAAAAAACTGAGTGCATACTTACTTGGGCCCGATGTATGTAATTATATTTAGTATATTTTAATGTACATTGCGCATTTAGCTATTTTCCCATTGTAGTTTGCTGGGTTTTAGGATGTCAATGTACAAAGTGTCGTTTCAACCAGAGCCTGAACTTTTATTAATATCTTTCTTTTAAATTGTTGGAAAAATTTTCGTAAGTTTTTGTGATATATAAAATTTATGACAAATCGAAATTTCCTTTGCCAATTTATAAAAAAAGTATGTACTTACCCAGAAATCTGATGATTTTTGTCATTCCCCATTAAATTTTTATCATCCCTGTCAATAATTTATCAATCTCTATATTTTCAACACTTACAAATTTAAGTATAAATAGATATTTAGATATACATGTATAATTTAACATGTGCTGGCCCCGTAGTATGCCGCCTCGTTAAAGCTATTATATCCACATTTAGCTTTCTAATTCGAGTGATAAACCGGTATTTTAAAATTTTATCACAATAGTTAACATGGCGAGCACCGTGTCTGCTAATGATTAACACAGTGCCAAACATGGCTACAAAGTCACAACTGATTTTAAAACATTTTGACAGTTCTGCACAGTAATTTTATCCACGTAAAAATTGAGCGCGACAAACGAGAAGAAAACAAATCATCTGAATTATTGGAAAAAGGTGAGGAGAACATTTTTAATACAGTTAAAATATATGAGAGTGATTAGAAATACGTAAATAATAACTAATATAATAGAAACAACAAAAACCCGACATTTTTAGGTTCAACGTTTTCGCGGCGATAATTAAACGACAAGGATATCTGCCGTCTGCTACTAGAACGCGGCTCAGTGACAAAATAATATTTCGAGATATCATAAAAACCATAACCCAGTTTTTTTTTTTTTTTTTTAATATATAATAGACACAGAATATCCAGTTTTAGAATATTAAAATTGTTTATTGATATTTCAGCTAAGTATCGTTAGGGTAAGGTCCGATAAGTTGAACAGGTTAACTAATTTTAACTGTTTTAAAAAGTTTTAGTTAGTGGACGGCAGATATACGCAATTTCATATCGTTGTCCTTGTTCTTCAAGATCCATAACAATAGTTCATTACCAAATAATCAAACTTAGCTTCATCAACTGAAATAAATATAGTCACGGGGTGGTTTAACTCACATATACTGCCATGACTCGTTAAATATTTCTTTAAATGCATTAATTCATAAGATGATTATAACTAACTGACCTTCTTATCATAACTAACGTAATTGAAAGAAAACTGTCTCTGTAGTCGAACGTTAACCATACTGGACCGTCACGCAGAGGTCCCGGGTTCGATTGTAGGGCCGGGAGAAATAATCGTATGGCCTACATTTATTTCACTCGTGAGTTTGGGCGCAATTTGTGGTTGTCTATGCATGCGTCCATGGCACTCGCAATACAGGCTTTCACTAGAGCGGGGTTATGAGTGTGTGCTTGTTATTAATTGTCATTTTTTTACTAGCAAAAAAATGTTAGGTGCCAATATGTCTCGAAAGTTACCGATATGCAAGTGCGTTAGTTATGACAAGGAGGTCAGACAATTTACCCAGATGGTATGTGATGTTACATTCGAATATGGACCATGCTTGTTTTGATACCTATTCACTGTCACAATATCATATCGCTCATGTGGTGCTACATTATGATATTGTGATATTGTACTTCTTGTAATGTTACAGGAAATGTTTTATATTTTATTTGCTTTATATTTTAAAGTTGATATTTTATTTCATTACCTATCTCTCATTATTTCGTTTTCGTGTTTGTTGTGTTTGTTGTTGGTTGGGCTATAAAATATGGTTAAATATTTTTTATTTTTTTCGCTGTCTTGGTGCGTGTACCTGTGATTTCTCAATGCGCAAAACTGTCAAAACAAGCATGTTCCATCTCGAATGCAACATTTGATATTTCTATCTTTATGTATCTATTTTTATATGATTTTGTTATTAACTTGACATTGAACAATTCACTTTATGTTAATAGAAGATAAAGAAGTCAGATATTAAATATTATTAAAAAAAAAACGTATTTATAATTCCAAATGTTTGTAATCGAGTATTGTGAACGTAATTTTGAAAGACATCAATACATGGTTACTATCTACCATTCTAAATTATATTAAGTGTTGTTATAATATAAAACTAGATAGTGTTTAAATTTACATTGATATAGTGCTGGCGTCATGTCAGTGACAGGGGCATGCCAGCGCTGGCAAAGGTCGTTGTGTAAACATTATTCATGCGAGCACAGCTCTGAGGTTACATACCGGGGAGCGGTTGTTTATGTTTAGTCACAGTGACCTTCCCCCGTGCTAATATCACTGGACGGGTGTAAATATTTCGGTCCAGTCGTTGGCGCAAGTAATATCATAGTAATATGGTGAAATTTAGTTAGTATTTTTTAAATAATTATTTATCCCTAAGGATAGGGATGTTTTTGAATATTCGTTCCAAGCATAACAAACATATGTGTGCATTCCCTTCAAGCGTACTAAGCGCTTCTCGTCAACCATGCGAGCAGCCCAGGTATGGAATTCCCTGCCCGGAACTGTGTTTCCGAGTACATACAACCCGAGTATCTTTAAGATCCCACTGAATGTACTTACACACATCAAAAAAAGTTTGCGATCACTTCGAAAAACTGAAATCTTTTTTGTTACTGTAGATTATATTATGATTTAAAAATTAAAAATAAATTAGAACAAAATTAAAATATTTAAAAATAAATTAGAACATAAAACAATGACCCCGTTCAATTGTTTTTTCATATAAAAAGGCTTTCAGTTCTAGCTTACGCTCATTCAGAAATCTGATTTAGTCAATTATAAGCGATTCAAGATATTTTTCGCGGAAAGTTGTGATTGAAAAAATGCCAAGAGGATTATCAGAGGTTTTACGAGCTAGAATAGTAACTTTGAGGGAAGAAGGATACACCACGAGAGTAATAGCACGCAGACTTGCTATATCCCAATCCTGTGTCGTGGCTACGTTGCAGAGATATCACGGAATGGGGAATTTAGCTGACCGACCCCGCAGCGGTCGCCCAACTGTTTTGACAGCTGCCCAAAAGCGCTATATTAGATTGCTGGCAGCCCGTGATCCAACAATCAACGCCACTAAAATAAAAGCAGAAGTCAGGGCCACCTCTGGGCTTGAAGTTAGCACGCAGACCGTTCGCAATTGCTTGCACCGCGCTGGATTACGAGCACGGAGGTCTTGGCGAGCTCCGCTCAATTCCCGGCAACGTCAACAACGAAGATTGCAGTGGGCTAGACTTCGGCAAAATGAAGAAGGTGAGGACGAAAACATTTGGCAAAACTGTCTCTTCGTTGACGAATCCCGAATCAGCACTCATCCAGATAACCGACGTGTCCGTGTCTGGAGAAGACCAGGCGACCGTGAAAGTCAAAGAACTGCCACTGGAACAGTTCAGCAAGGCGGAAAATCGGTGTCCTTTTGGGGTGGCATTATGATTGGAGCTAGAACGCCTTTGATCCCGTATCGGGGCTTCATGACAGCAGACATGTACAAAGCAGTTGCTATTGATGATATCGTCAGACCATTCCGAGTAAACCATGGGCACCAATTTGTACTGGTCGATGATAATGCGCCCGCACATCGAGCTCAACGAGTCAATGCTGCTCTTCAAGAATACGATATCACACGATTAGACTGGCCTGCCGGCTCGCCCGACTTAAACCCAATAGAGCACGCGTGGGATGCTCTTAAACGAGCAGTATGGAACCGTGAGCCACGTCCCCAAACAGTTCCAGAGCTCAGGGAAGCCGCTATTGAAGAATGGGATAGGTTACCCCAGGAAATGCTGGATAACTTGATCCTCAGCATGCCCAGGAGGATCTTCGCATGTATTCGAGCCAGGGGAGGAGTTATTTTATATTGAATTCACACCTTTTAATAATAAATTGTTGTTTAAGTTTAATTAAACAGTCTTTTTCTTTCTATGAAATTTCTATCACTATTACATTATGATTAATGGCTCAATTTTTTAAAATAAATAATAAAAAATAGTTTTATATTTTAATTTCAAACAGGGTATTCCTATTTAAAGAAAGCATACAACATAGATTTTTTCTTGAAAAAGTTAAATTTAATGAATTATAGGAGCTTATGCTATTGATCGCAAACTTTTTTTGATGTGTGTATATCTTGTGGGCGAGCTTGTTCAATCGTTGATCCTATCTTTGCTCCAGGACTAGGTAGTAGTCAAGAGCAAGTACATTTTCTTTTAAAAAAAAATTGCGCTACAACGTATTTATGACGGAATTGGTTGAAGTGTTAACTAAAGTTCAAAAGCGGTACGCATTTAGACATTCGTAAAAACAATTCCTTTAAATTGTTGCAGCATTTGTAATGAATTATTTTGACATGACAGATTCGTTTGGTATGGAAGCGAAATAACTGGCCGATTGTTGACGATATGGTTCAGTGCCGGTGCTGGCATGCCAGCGGTACTGATATCAGTCACTGTGTCAATGTAAATTGATAAATAACTTTGTCTAGATGCTTCTGCACCGTTCAAAGCTATATAAAAATAGAAAACGTAGTAATAATTTCTTTTAAAAAACATTTTATAAATAGTATTATTGTAGTCACCGTGTATTAATGTTTTCGGAGAGAATGTCGTCCTAAAAATAAATCAAAATAAACAATTTACAAACACTTGTTTTGTTTCAATTCATCTTCTAAATAAGTTTACAATAACAATTGATACAAAATAACAAAGTCCTTGGCATATGTCCTAATGTATAAATATTTTATTTAGCTATTTGTAATGCTAAATTATATTTTCAGTCGCAGTAGATCTCCTTGTGTGTGAGAGAGAGAGAGTTCGTTCAGGGAAGTACTGTCACTTTACCTATTTCCGCCGCCAAGCAATAATGTGAGCATTACTGCGTTCCGGTTTTGAAGGGTAACGGTGTTGAGGAATATACAAGTACATGGGATTTGTCAACTCATGTCTCAGAGTGACGGGCGCAGTGGCAGTGCCCCTTAGATCTTTGCGATTTAAATCTCTGAGTGGCGCTGGAACTGTTATGGACAGGTGTGTAGCTTGATATTATAAAAAATCTTCGTATTTATGTGCTCAGAACCAATAGGTCTTCAAAGTCGGCTTGGGGGGGTCAGGAGGTCTACCACGAAATACGATACAACGTGACTGCATCCGCAACGAAGCTCAATGTACTACAAAAATGTCAGTTTTAGGATGAAAGTAATGTCAAAATTCGATTCTTTATCTGTCATTTGATGTTTCGGTCTAAAGTATCCACAAACACTTATGTAAGATCACGATCTTCGATCGTTGCTTCGTATTTTGTGGTAGATCTCATGGTATCTTGAGTCAATGCGTGTGTAACTAAAATAACAATGTGACAACCCTACACTCGAGCGCCGAACAGGTGGGAGCAGCACTACTTGTCTTTGTTATACTG